ATAATAATAATAATAATAATAATAATAATAATAATAATAATAATTCTCTGTTATACAAAACTAATCCAACGAGTTCAAAAATTTATATTTGGCGTGAATTCGCGAAGCCATAACGTAGGGGAATTCATCTATATTTAGGAATTAAGATACGTGTGCTTGTTGGTGGTAACTATCGTTTTAAATCTAATAAAAGAAAACAATGTTTCAAATTTTAATATTGCAACTGCATGAATCGGTGCAGTTCTATTTATTTTCTTCTCACTTAGTTGTGACCGTTGTTTAATTCACAGCAAATCTATCTAAATATTTCCAAACCCATTGAACAAAAACAGAAAAAATGCGAAAATATTGTATTCCCTTTTAAAATAACAAATCTAATACGCATTCGCTCTGATTTAAATTAATTTTTTTTTATTCCAGCATTATAAAAGTACCTTTTCTGTTGCAAGAAATCGGGCATTTTACGGCACAAATTAGATTTTATGTCACGAATGATTGCGTCATCACACATTCAGCCTATCGTAGCGAGAGAATAGGTGGGAGGTAGAGCTAAACGGAACAGTCGACCACCGTTTACTCGCATGATGTCAAATACCCGAGTCGCGACAGGGAAGTTGTTTCGCAAAATTAAGTTTGATTCTCTTAAAAATGTATAATTCTGTTATACAAAAAAATATAGTATGCAATTCGTTTATAATGTTGCCTTATTATATTCGTACAAATTTGAAAACTCACGAGTGTTAATTTCACTGAAGTCGCTCGTTTTCAAAACATGTACTCGTGCAATAAATCTTAACATACTAATTACATAAACTACTATTAAAAAACTCATTCATACCGTACGCGCGTGTTATTATCGCCATTACTTTTAAATCTCTTTTTTTCCTTCTATTTGCCAAACCATTCGTGGCCTTTACCACTACTCTGGAATACAACGTGCGTCAGTCTTACGCCATCACCAGTCCTCGCTCTGTTGACATCCGGGAAAATACTATTTCTCCAATTAACTCGCTCGTCCATATTCACCTTCACTTATGCACTTATTATGTAACCTTTTCATACCTCTCGCCAAGTTTATCTCTTTAAATAAATTCGCGTCTTGCGGTTCGGCGATCAAAACGCACTCTCCTGCGACCGTCTACCTAATGGAACTGTAATCACACAGCTCCATGATTTACCATGCCGTCACGAATCATACTTTTCTGTCACTGCTGGTTTGACAGAGAGCTAAAACAGCTGCTCTCCACTTTCGCCTGTCAACTTCTGCAGATTTTCCCCCCTTTTTTCGTTTATTTTAGTAAATAATATCAGGTCACTTATTCCCACGATTAATCAAATATTTTGATACTGTTTTATCTAAAATCTATTTGATTCATTATCTTTAATACTTTTATAATTGGATATTGTATAATGAACCTTCCGACTTCGTCCCTTCAACTGTCTTTCATATTATCTTATTCTTTTCTATTTAATTGCCAAAACTTAATATCTACACCAATGTTTATATAATTTGCACACTCTTCATTATTGATTTACATCCGTCATATTTCTTATTGAACACATTTTGTTTGATCAAGTTAAATAAAGCGTCTTGTTTTCATTTGTCTATACTGTAATACTCATAAACTCCGGGATATTAACCT